AAAAAAAAAAAAAAAAAAAAGAAAAAAAACAAATGAAAATTATTTGAAAAACTGTTCTTCCAAATAATTTGCAAACAATGTGAAAAATAATGTTACTACGCAAACTTTTATCGGACATTTATCAAAGATTAACTGGTTCTTTCAACATTAATTGCACCTTGTGCTACAATTAGGTCGAAAGGCCACGACTAATTCAAACAAGAGACAAAAATTACTTAAGAATTCTTCACTGCCAAGTTAAAATCTGTTCTTCCGAATATTTAACCCGTAAACGTGGATAACTGTGATGTAAACCTGGCTGTTCATCGACAGAGTTACGACACCGTGTGCGCAATATTCCTTCATTCGCCAGATTTAATTGACGGTATGCGACATATTTCTTCATTTCCCGGATTTATCTGATTCCTTTTTACCAACGACACTCTACGACAGTCACGTGTTACAAACTACAATTAGATCAACGTGGTGAATAGTGAAGAAACGAATCGAATTAAGAAGCAAATTGAAGCTAAGTTTAAAAACCTTCAAGTTCCTCCGAGCTCGGCCGAAAATCGTTGCGAACGATTAAAATTAATGAACACTAACACACAAACTTCATCACCAGCGTTACGAGACGGAGTGTGCAATATTTCTTCATTCGCCAGATTTAATTGGGTCTTTCAACACTAACTGCACTTTGCGCTACATAGTCAAACGTGTTCCCCATTCCCTAAACACTCGTACACTCGTCCCGTTGTAATCGTCGCTGCACGCACGATAATGGACCGGTTTTGTTTTCTTCTTTTTTTTTTTTTTTTTTTTTTTTTTTTCTTTCTTCTTTTTCCTCCAATCATGTGGGAAATAGAAATCTCGGTGGCCTAGCGAGATCCAACGATGGATAGAAAATTACGCGTATTACGGTATTCCTGCGTGAGTAGTGGAGACTACTACCGGTCTGCAGGCCGATTTGCGGTTGTCGCTGGTGTTGTTAACTCCGGTCAATGCACCAAGCGTTCGCGCGCAAAAGCAGTTCCTTAATGGGGACCAAGCAAGGATGTATCATTTATACGATTTATTCTATGATCGTCGGACACTCCTGGCTGAATATTTATCGGATCGATTATTCGCGGACGAGCGAAGGCATTTAAAACCATCTATAACTGCGA